TTTAATTAACAAAGATCCGCGAATAAGCATGCATCGGGCTGTCTTACGCGCGTAAGACTGCCCGCCGCGCTTCGCGCGCTAACGGTGTTACCCATAGCGACATATGGGAGGAGCTAATATAACAACATATACTATAACATATACATGTTAAAATGTAATTGTGTGAAGCGCGCCGGGCTGTCCTACGCGCGTAAGACAGCCCGATGCACGCTTATTCGCGGATCTTTGTTAATTAAAATCTCGGTAACTATTGCGAATCTAGCAAAATGGTATAAGACTTTTCACCTCAGTTTTATTCCTTCTACCTGCCTATGAGCGATGTTAAACCAATTCTGGGACACCCTGTATATTAATATATATTATTTTATATAATGTTTTTAATTAAAATGTACACAATTGTACTTGATGCTATGTTTCATATCACTTCTTTTGTAAACCAGATTTTGTAGAGAAAGATATGTTTATTTGGCGTGTACTTGGCGCCTTTTTTTCTTTTTTTTAAAAGTAAAGTTTTTATTACTGGAAGTTTTGCTTCCGTTATCACACTTTATCTTAAACACTTTTTGACACTGAATTTCTATCTTATATTCTTTCAGTACTTTACTTACTTCAATTTTACTTGACAAGTAGACAATAAAAAAATGAGTGAAATTATCAAATCATAAAATACTTTTTGTTATCATAGATAACAGAATCTATTGATCCACATAAGTCTAAATGAATAATTTCTAAAGGCCTAGATGCTCTATCTCTGAGTGTTGCATAGCTGTTTCAGTTGCTACCTTTGAATACACACAGAGCAAATAACATTATTCTTACATTTGTTTACATCTAAAGTCATACTATCACATAGATTTGGCATTTTCTTGAGATTTTTAAAAAACATGTCCATGTTTTTTATGCCATTTTAGACTGGTTTTATTCAGCGCATATAAGACTTCATAGACTCTACTTTAACATTAAAATTTATTACAAACAGTTCATTTTCTGTTTTCTTATTTTCAAGCACAACACTTTTTTGAGACACTTGTACTTTGTTTTTTAAAATACTTACTTTGTCTCTAAACAACACTGTATAGTTATGTTCTATTATTTTGTTGACTGACATCAGGTTTCAACTCAAGTCTGATATATAATATCAGAGTTGGGTAAGTTAAATTTTTTTTTTAACTAAGTTAAGTTAAAGTTAAAGGTCTTGAAAATTTAATTTAGTTAAAGTACAAGTTATCCCATAATGAAATTAATTGATTAAAAGTTAAGTTATTAAAAAAAATAATTAAAAAATTAAAAGTTAAAGTTTTAAAAATTAAAGTCATTTGACGTAAATTTGTCAACAGTGTGTAAGTGCCTGAAAGAGAATTATGTTTAAATATTTCGCGCGCGCGCGCGACTTTGCCGAATGGCTTGATATGTATTGTCTTGTAGCTAGTGCTTTCGTCTGTTTATTATTGTACAGTATGTAAAGTAAGAGCGTGTACGGCATAAATGGCAGTTGGCTTCAAATATCGTCCTAGTTTTTTTGTGAGTCGATAGATGGAACCTTTGTCGTGAATGCTTTGTCACAAAAGATTTAGTTGGTGTCGAATTCTTATCTGAGAAAC